CTAGTGTTTGTGAACAATATCTGACATGAAGAGGATCAGAAGGTTTACACAGGGCTTGGTAAGGAGACATGTGTTGTCGTCTCCAGGTGTCCCCGTGCCAAAGGCTTCATTCATCACTTCCTCCTCTGCCGCTGTACGACCAGCCGCCCTGCAGTCCGTACACGAGCCCCGAGACCAGCAGCGCTCCCTCGCTGCCCCGCTCACCATCTGTCAACGGAGAACACAAACTGCCCATCCCGCAGAAAGCCGCCGGTCATAGTGAGACACCGTCATGAATCCTGCTGTGTTACTCTGTGGATTTGTGTCTGCTATTGTTTGAACTTGAGAATGTTTTACATTTGGTTTAGATCACAATTCCAGCTTAAGTCCAGAGAGCCCAGGCTTCTCGCAGCCGCTGAGACTCACTCCGGACGGATCCGGCTCTGGAAAACTCAGACCTGTATGTGAACACTACAGCGCTACAGATTAGCTTTTTTTATACTTGATTTGTGAACATCCTGCATTTTAAAGTTATGTGTAAGATTTTGCTGCTTCTAGTGTTATTTTAGTAAAACTGAGATAACTAATATAGTTTTTATTCATTTTTAAATCATTTTTTTTATTTTAATATTTTCAGTTTTCATTTTAATTGTAGTAAAAGTTTTAATATTTTTTTGTGTGTTTTTCTCACTTTTATTCATTTTTGTTTTTTGTATTTAACACATCCTCGCTGAATAAAAGTTTTAATTTCTTTCAAAAAAAGAAAGAATAAAAAAAAACGTTTTTTTTTCCAAACCCCAAACTTTTGAACTGTAGCTCACTTTTATTCATTTTTGTTTTTTGTAAATATGTCTATGGTTTTTAGTCATTTTATTTCAGTTTTAGCTTTAATTATTTTAGTAAATCAAGTTAAACTAAATGAAAATGAGAAATGTTGCCTCGGCAACTAGCTGAAATAAAATAAGTTTGGTTTAAATGTATATTTACACTGCCGTTCAAAAGTTTGGGATCAGTAAGACCTGTAATGCTTTTTAAAGAAGTCTCTTCTGCTCATCAAGGCTGCATTTATTTGATCAAAAATACAGAAAAAAAAACGTCCAAAAAAATATGAAACAGCACAACAGTTTCCAGCACTAATAATAAATCAGCATATTAGAATGATTTCAGAAGATCATGTGACACTGAAGTAATGATGCTGAAAATTCAGCTTTGCATCACAGAAATAAATTAGATTTTAATGTATATTAAAATAGAAAAACTTTATTTTACATCATAATAATATTTAATGTATTTTTGATCAAATAAATGCAGCCTTGATGAGCAGAAGAAACTCCTGTAAAAAACATTAAAAATCGCTCTGATCCCAAACTTTTGTGGTGTAGTGTATATACATATTATTTTATTTCAGTTAACATTTTATTTCAGTAACAAAAATGCATTTTTATGGTTTTAGTTAACTATAATAACCCTGGCAGTTTCTTACATTTAGAGAAATATATACCAAAAAAATACAGATTGCTAAATGTTGTTTTTTTCTGAATTACTTTGATTTCAGATGTTGCTCTCTAGTCCAGATAGATATATATTTTATAACTTATTTTTATAACAGTAACTTCCATTATTATATTTTTAACATTTTATAGATAGAGATTTTTATCTTTGTGAATCTCATGAATCCTGTCAATAACACATACAGACCAGATTTTATCCTCAAAAAAAGAACAAATTATATTTTTCATATAAAAAAGTATATTTTCAAGTTAAGATTATTAGGGTTTATTATGATGTTTTTTTTTTTTTAACAATCGAGCACTTTTTCCCCACTTGATTCTCTTTTTTAAATAATAAAAAACAACAAAAATAGTTCATAATTTTTTTTATTTAAATAGCTTATAACACATTTATTATTATATATTTACTATTTATTATTATATATTTTTAGTGTGTAAATATGATATTATACATGTTATATAAATATATTTTTTTGTCTTTATTTTTTGGGGGACCTACACATTTTCACTTGTGAATATAATACAGGCTAGCTGTTCTCTATTAAACCCTGTTATTTTATGTGTCTGTAGGTTCGGGCGGCACCTCCTCCTCCAAAGCAGCACGCGCGCAGACAGGTGGAGAAAACCGAAGAGGTGGAGATCACGCTGGTGTAGAGCTCCGCCCTAGTGGACTGAGAACAAACCCCATCTGACCTCTAACCCCTCCCACTCCTCACGGATGCCCTATGAGCATCCTTAGATCCCCGAGGGGGCGGAGAACAGCATCTCAAAGGCATCCCTTTTTCATAAAATACAAACACCTCTTTTGGCGTCACAGACTGTTTGGTGCCTTAAACCGCTTTCATGCCAAACTCTAATCCTTGTATTCGTAATGACTTTATCGTGCAACGGGAACTTGTTTAAAACTTTGTTAATTCACTCAATGGCAGTTCAGTTTTGCAAAATCATGGTTGATGTGTAAGCGTGCATCTAAAAACACAGAAAAGAATCGAATACAAGGGTTTAGCAAGAGTTTCAAAAGAGGCTACACTTGCACATCCGTCTCTTCAGTGGCTTTTGAAGAGCCAAACATGCAATACTAGGAATTCTGGGATGTGAAAAAGGGGTCAGCCACGAATAGTCCTACCATTTACGTATTTCATATGTAATAGCACAGTACATTACTGTCGTCATAGGAATGTTATATTCACGTTAAACATTACAGATCATAATGGAGAAAGGGAACTGTACATAAAAGGCTAGAAGGAAAAAGAGCGGTAGAGGAAAAAGAGGAGAACGAGGGTTAAAAAGAGAGGAAGGCTGGTTACTTCGCTCTTTTTTTTTTTTCATCGGTTTAGCTTCTTTCTGTCTTGTGTTGGTCCGGAAAAATAAAAGTACTAACTACATAGCTATATCCTTTTCCTCAACTTTTCATTAAGAAGACCAGTGTTTGTATGCATTACTAATATTTAGTCCTCAGAAAGGCGTGCGAGAGCGATCTAAAGATGTGTCTCTGAGCCGGGGACGGAGAATATTCTGCGTCTGTAATCATGGAAATATACTGATCAATATACAAGTATCAGTTAAAGTGCTTTTCCAGCCTAACGCATTTCTCATTGTCATGTGTCGGCACTGCGGAGGACTGAACGGATGTGTTGTGTTTCTTTTATGGCAGTGTTTAGGATGAATGTGATGGGAGAGATTCCCTCCAACAAGCACAGAAAAGGTGGATCATCATGGGGATTTTTCATTTTAATTATTGCCAATGAACGCAAACCTATTATAGTGTTCTAAGTGCATTTCCTCCCTACAAGGGGCAGCTATGTTTTTTTTTGTTTTTTTTTGTTTTTTTTAGAGTTTGTCTTTTTTGCAGTTGAAGAGACATTTCATCTTAAATAAGCAATGCCTGTTATGTTTCATTTTCATTAATTTCCACAGTATTTTCATGCATATCTTGATCTTTTTCTGACGTTTCAGTGCTTTGACCCCTCAATTTTAACTTTTTTTTTTTAATGTCCGTGTATCCCAGCTGCCTCTTTTGGATGATGAAGCTGCCCAGCGTCGTGTTATTGATCTCGTTAGAGAGTGACTGATTGTAGTTTTCCCATAACGTTTGAAAGAGAACAGAGTTATTATGTTGATTCCATAATATAGACAGTGGAAATAATAAAAAAATCCATTTTGTGAAATGGTACGGTTGCACTCCTCGCCTTCATCCTTTCTCTGTCCGCAGGGTAATGAGTGCAGATTTTTCACATTTTTCTATGTTCACATATTTCAATATAATTAAGAATTTTACTTATATATTTAATAATTAAGTACCAGCACATCTATTAATGAATGAAATGTTGCATTTGGTTTTATTTGTGAAATGTTCTGTCTTTATGAATGTTCCCAAAATGCATCCCAAGGGTTGGTGTAGTTTAGAGGTTAAATCATAAATAAACAAAAAATTATTAACAAAAAAACAAACACACATGCACATTTAATATGTGCATGTGCAAATGAGATTTGATAGTCATGCTGGTTTGGAATGACGTGAGGATCAATAAATGACAGTATTTAAATATTTTAAGTGAACTATTCCTTTGAAACTTGATTTTATTCATCAGGAAATTACTGGATTGTGAAAAGTGGTCTGGAGGGGAGGGGTTGCAAAATAATGTGGAGCAAGGTATTAAACATCATGCATTTTTAATTGTGCAAATGACAAAAGACTGACTGGGGTTAGTATTGATCTTTTCTTGTTAACACTATTTCTATACTGCTTTCTAAAAGCATGTCAGTAGACAGTTTATGGTGTATTGTTTTGGCCAATAGTTTGGGATCTAGGCCACCAACACAAAGTCCTCCTGACCGCAAGATAACCATCCAAGAATCCTTTGGGGCTCATCATAGATGGTCTTGACCAACTGCCAAAGACTGATGGACAACTCGACTTGACATTACTTCCCGAATCATTAGCTCCAAATGTAAAGCTTATCATTTCCATCAATGTAAACTGGCCTACCCTTCTTGCTACTCTGAAGATGTATTACCCAGATTAATCTGTGTTCTGGGAGTTGCAAGAAGTAGAGAATAAAAGCTGCAGCCAGCTACTGACAACACTTCTTCAGGAGTCCAACAGAAAGATCACCTCAGGCCAACAGATGTACAGTATGTGAATCAGGCGTTTAAGAAATGCCCTGTCCCACTATATGTGGAACTCCTTCATAGACAGGCAATCCACTGGAAGTCAGAGTTTGAGATTACGGAGAACTCTTTGATCCAAGAGGCCCATAATAACATTGTTCTAATGTTTGATCATCTGGAGAAGAAGCATGGGAAAGCTGTAGTCTCCAAAGCTTTAAGCTATCTTGCTTTGGCCAGGTACGGTATGACCGCAACTGAGCTGACTGATGTTCTTTCTTGTGATGATGAAGTTCTTGCATCTTTCCTTCCACCAGGCGATGGCGTACCGCTCACAGTGAGGGTTCCTGAAGTTTCTGTGAATAGTCTTCTTTTAGACTTGAGGGGGTTTCTAGTGCTGAGGAACATTTTAGGTACACAAACTCTTTTCTGGGTCAGCAAACACTTCCCTTTGGTTGTACAGTATGTAAGAGGTACCTGTGCTCAGAGGAAACATGTCAGAAGACACATCATGTGCTGTCACACTATTTCAGTGGCTCTTGGGCAAATGGCACAGCAAAGCCTTTGATCATCAATGAAGACATGAAAATGCCAAGCTCTTCAGATGTCCCACAGAACATTAACATTGACAGACAAGTGCCAAGTCAATCTTGGATCTTTTCTCCTCATTTCTACATCTCTACTGCCAAGAGTCCATCAGCAAGAACACATCCCAATTTGAGGAAACTCCACATACTCCCTTTCCATTTGTTGAAAAGTGGGAGAATTGAGGAACTTGGCAACCAAATGATTTCTCAAGAATACCTTCAGGCAATGCTGCAGGCAGAACTGGCTGACGAACTCTTTCTGTGGCTTGAGAGGACATCTCAGTTGCTGGTTCCCGGCCTGTGATCTCCATGAGAAGCCGATGCTGGTAGCCATCCGTCTGACGGATGGGGAGACCGTAGGCAAGGCTCTATTTGTTTCTGATGATTTTTTTGTGTATGTGGGGTTTCATGCTGTCTCTGTTGGAGTTTATGCTGTTAATGACACCAAGATAGGTAAAAACAGCCGGAAGGAGGATGTTCAAAGGCCAAGACTTTTGTGTCCATTGAATGAGCAATTGATTTGTTCGCCGTAAAACCTAACCTTACTTGGGTTGAATTGCCCCTGCAATTGTTTTAAATAGTTCCAATGTGTATTTTTACATTGTTCTAAAGTGCTAAGACTACACTTGTGATATGGGTTATACATACTGTATGTTTATCATAATTTAAAAAAATTAAATATGTTCATTTGTCTCATATACCTTAGAACTCAAAAAGATGAAGAAAGCTGTATGAAAATTTAAGCTGTACATTTCTTTAAAACTAGCTCACAGAGTATCACAATATAATATTTACTGTATTATATTTTTTTCTATTATCCATTTACTGTTTGTTTTTATTTATTTATTTTTTGTATTGTTGACTTGCATATCCACAGAGCATGATTTTGTTCACTTTGTATTCTATAGAATGAGTTTGTTTTGTATTAAAGCTAGAAAATAGTTATATATATAATATATATATATATATATATATATATAGCAGTCTTTTCTTTTCTTATAATGTGTAAGCCCTTACGAAAATTAACCATGGTTTTACCACAAATAAAACCAAAAAACCATGGTTACTATAATTAAACCATGGTAACCAGAAATTAACTATGGTTTTGCTATACTAACCATAGTTTAACCATGGTATTTGTAGTAAAACTGTGGTTATACAAATGGTAATCACTTTTACTACAATAAAACCATGGTTAATTTTAATGGTTCAACTTCCAAAAGAAAAAATTAGGTAGGCTACAATTCCTAAAGAATTCCTGTTTGTTTACATGTTGTTTTTGTGTTTTAATGTAGTTTAGAGTTACTTGGACCGATAAATAATAAAGAGAATCATATTTCATCACAGGCTATTGATCTTACCTTAATAGCTTTATTGAAACACACACGTTTAGCCTATCTATTTATCCTATTAAAACATTTGTTACGAAACATTTAAAACATATCCAATTAAAACACTTGTTTGAAGGACGGCGATGTGCTGAACTACAGCATGTGATGGGAGAACTACAGTTCCCATTACCACACACAGTCATACGGAAGTGATTTGTTACCATAAACGCACTTCCGCTACACTGCCAATTCCTTTCCTGTCTGCGGCCTCCGTCAAGATGGCGGTGCAAATCTCTAAGAAGAGAAAGGTTGGTACGAATTTCACTTCAAAGTTGTGTAAGGAAAGCACAGGAGTGCAAAATAAGAGAGGCACCTGATTACTATGTTACTTAACTATAATCGAAGCGGTTCAGATGAGGATTTAATAAGGATGTATGGATGGATTGAGTCGGATGCTGTCGGCACTGAATCTGAAGTGAAACATGGCAGATGAAGCTCAGTGGACTTTCGTATTTGAGCGGTACAAATATATATAATACAATACAGAAGTGATATTTAAGTAATTTATGTTGGCGTTAGTATGACTGCTGGAAATTGACACTGTACGGACCATATATTGTTAACTATATAAGCGTTTGTACATGTGTTATTCTGCATAAAGTGTCAGGTTTGTCTTTTATTTTTGATTGACGTTTGTGGCATTTAATATTGCAAGCAAGATGTTACTGTTCATATAAAAGTCGCGTTTTATTTCTGCATCAGAAGACCTTAATCGCTTTAATGTTTCTCTATCAGTTTGTGTCGGATGGCATCTTCAAAGCCGAGCTGAATGAGTTTCTGACCCGAGAGCTGGCTGAGGATGGGTACTCCGGTGTGGAGGTCCGTGTCACGCCAACAAGAACAGAAATCATCATCCTAGCCACCAGGTGTGCACTGATTACACGCATTTGAGTTTATTTCCATTACTTTACATGTTTAACGTGCATTTAAACCATTGACATGGGTTAACTAGGGATGCACCAATACCATTTTTCCAGAATCGATCCTATACCAGAAGGTCCGAGTATCTGCCGATACGTTACCGATCTGATACCAGCACAGTTTTTTTTTTAAATCAGTGTAGATTTTCTATACTTAAATGTTTGTTGACCTGATCATCACTCTTTTGTGTGTTAAAGGTGGGGTAAGTGATTTCTGGTAGCCAATGTTGACATTTGAAATCACCAAAACAAACAC